GCTGGGTTGGGGGATGGCAGTTGGGCTGGGTTGGGGGATGGCAGTTGGGCTGGGTTGGGGGATGGCAGTTGGGCTGGGTTGGGGGATGGCAGTTGGGCTGGGTTGGGGGATGGCAGTTGGGCTGGGTTGGGGGATGGCAGTTGGGCTGGGTTGGGGGATGGCAGTTGGGCTGGGTTGGGGGATGGCAGTTGGGCTGGGTTGGGGGATGGTAGTTGGGCTGGGTTGGGGGATGGCAGTTGGGCTGGGTTGGGGGATGGCAGTTGGGCTGGGTTGGGGGATGGTAGTTGGGCTGGGTTGGGGGATGGTAGTTGGGCTGGGTTGGGGGATGGCAGTTGGGCTGGGTTGGGGGATGGCAGTTGGGCTGGGTTGGGGGATGGCAGTTGGGCTGGGTTGGGGGATGGCAGTTGGGCTGGGTTGGGGGATGGCAGTTGGGCTGGGTTGGGGGATGGCAGTTGGGCTGGGTTGGGGGATGGCAGTTGGGCTGGGTTGGGGGATGGTAGTTGGGCTGGGTTGGGGGATGGCAGTTGGGCTGGGTTGGGGGATGGCAGTTGGGCTGGGTTGGGGGATGGCAGTTGGGCTGGGTTGGGGGATGGCAGTTGGGCTGGGTTGGGGGATGGCAGTTGGGCTGGGTTGGGGGATGGTAGTTGGGCTGGGTTGGGGGATGGCAGTTGGGCTGGGTTGGGGGATGGCAGTTGGGCTGGGTTGGAGGTTGGTAGTTGGGCTGGGTTGGGGGTTGGTAGTTGGGCTGGGATGTTGGCATGTAGGTGGTTGGTAGGTGGTTGGTAGGTAGGTAGGTAGGTAGGTGGTTGGTGGTTGGTGGTAGGACTGTAGGACTGTAGGGGGCCCCAGCTTGGGTAGGGCAGGGATGCGACCGTATTCGTTTTGGCCGTCTGGCGTAATAATGGTACCTCAAATTAATACGCCAGGCGTATGGCGTATCAATACGCCGGGGTTCACGCCATGCCGTATTACAATACTCGTGGCGTATTCCTTTTGCGCTATTCCGTCATGGAATTCATGTTTTTCGCTTTTACAATGAAAGGCGTATTGCTTTAGTGTTTGGAAAACGATCTCTCACAAGATAAAATATGAATTTGGGCAACAGCCAGACCTGGACAGCCATCGAGCCATGTGCGCACACATTCGCGTCTGCATTCTAGCATTCCTAACAAACCGTGATTATCACAAATACTACAGCCCA